TCTGTGATTGACTGTGGGCTTGGCCTTTACACAGCCACCAGACATCGGCTGGAAAGATTCGAGAATGAGCAAAATGAAGCCATGAGACAGTTCCTCTGGTGCACAAGAACCACTTTGTGTTACACGATGTGATATACACTTGATTTGCCAGACATGGCCACTAACACAAGGACTAGGTGAAGGTGTACCTGGATGCCTGCTGACATAAAACACCCTCTGCACAGCTGTCTGTGGTTCAGTGAAGGTAAACGCCTAAAGAGGGGCGGTCTTGGATGGAGGAAGCAGAGGACATCATTAGCCATATTTACCCATTGGAACATGTCAGGCTCATTACTGAATGCATAACAACTCCAGAAAGAATGCAAGAGCAGACTGAGCTAATAATCACTTTGGGCAGCTATTTGCTGAGAATGGAATCAGCCACTGATGCTGAAATAAAGGCTCTCATCCATGAACACACCTGACCAGATGATGTTATCATCCATGAGCACACCTGACCAGATGATGTTATCATCCATGAGCACACCTGACCAGATGATGTTATCATCCATGAGCACACCTGACCAGATGATGTTATCATCCATGAGGCACCGTCTGGTTGGGCATACATAGCTGAGGTCAATGGGTACAGTAAAAGAAAAAAGCCGGGCATTCAGTTGGGCATAGCAGATGCTGGGGGATAGCAGCTGTCAAAGGGGCACTTGCATGGCTCTCCGAACAGAAAGCAACTCAGGCATTGATAATGACAGATGATGATAATGAGCTCACCTATGAAGATCCAAATTGGCATACTCTGACTAGAATGGGTTGACAGCATTCAAACATCCTACCTCAAGAAACTGTTTTGATTATGTACACCAGGACATGCTGGAGTGGAAGAAAATGACAGAACTGACTGACTGGCCATGTCTGCAATAGTTAGTATAGTAAGGAGCATGGACAAGGCAGACATATTGAATATGCTCCGTTCCAGAGATGTTGAGACAAATAAGTCTGAGACTATGAACCGCATGTTGGAAATGTGTATTAAAGAGGACAAGCATGCAAAAAGTGGTTGCAGGCAAAGAAGAAAGATTTGCCAGTCAGCTCGTTTGGTTTGGTTTATGCAACGGATCAACATCATGGCACAAGAGCAGTAACCCATAAGTGCTCCATTCTACTTCTAACTCAAGCCTGAGTCCGAAGAATCTTAGCTCAGTGCATGAACTCCGTAGCATTAGCAAGAATCCTGAAATACCTTGGTTAGATTTTTAACTCTGTAGTCCATCCGGAAAATGTGTCTGTTTTGTGGTGCTCTCTAGACAACAGGATCGTTAGATGTCCTAAGTCTCACGATAGATAGTAAAAACGTCAACAGAGAGGGCAAGCTGAAGTATCTGGGAATTACATTTGACAGGAGCCTGTCCTTTAAAGACCATGTGTAGATTGTTGTGACAAAATGCCAAAAAGGTCTTAGTGACTATGGCTGCAATTGAGCAGAGAATGCTTTTCACACTATATCAGTACCTGATCCTGTCAGTAGTTGATTATGGCCTGGGACTGCTTACCGTCTCAAAGAGTCAGATGGACAAGCTAGAGTGCATACAGAACACAGCTGTGCGAGTCATTCTGGGTTGCGCCAGAGACACCTCAGTGGCATGTATGGGATATGTCCTTGGTTTGCCAAAGTGCCACCTGAACGGTCAGACTTGTGTAGGGTCATAATCACACTGAGCCGGGAATGCAGAGACTGGCCAGCAGGTGCCATGAAGGTGGAAATTCAGCAGTTAGTTCAACATAATGCTCGCTCAGAGAATTAAACTATTTACACAGACGGTTCAGTGTCAAGAGGCAAAAGAAGTGCTTGGGGTTTCTTAGCAAAAGTGAATGGTCGACGTTTGGTGCAGGAGAGCCTAGCATATGATACCACAACATTCTGCTTGAGAATGGAGGTGGAGGTGGTCGCTGCAGCTTTTTTGCTGATTAGAGAACACGACACACATCGTGATTGTAATTGACTCAGAAAGAAGCTAATGAAGGTCAGGACAGGCATGCTTCACTGCAGAGGACTTGGGTGAGGAGTATTGTCTAGATTTTGTCACCGGGAAATGCCGGTGTGTTGGGAAATGAACAGGCAGACAGACTGGCTGGCGCTGCACAACTTGGTGAAATTCTGATACATGACTAGGCAGACGTGGTTAGTGCCTTGTGGCAGAGCGTGTACAGTTTATAGGAGCAGATTCTCCGCTAGGCTACTCTTTTCGATTTTCAACTGCGAGGATATTTTACATGCGCAGCAACACACACGGGCGTCCAATCTTACTACCCAGAGACTAGGGCGATTTACTAGAAGTCTATGTGAAAAAATCCCAGCCTTCATCAGGGTCTGAACCCGGGACCTTCAGCACTCAAAGCAGGCATCATGCCTCAAGACCACTCAGCCACACCCCCCCCCCCCCCCCACTCCTCGCAAGCAAGCTCCTACTGCAAATGATGAGCATGGAGACACTGAGATGTTTTGCTGCATTGAAAAACAAGGCACAAACTACTCAGCTTTTTCTTTTATTACGTAACCCCATCTTACTCAAACTGTTATTATTTTTGTCAGTGTCGGAGACAGGGAGTAAGTAATGTAAAGGACCTATTTTCATGCCTTGAAATATATTGAATATATGGTGCAAACTTTCGTGTTTTTTTTTATAGACCATTTGACACTCAATGGGTTATGGTAATATCATGGCAGCTGCCTTTACTTCCCAGAGGATGCATGTACAGGGCTGATAACATCACTGCTATATGGACCCGGCCTTCTAATGATGACAAATCTCTGATGCTAATACAATTACAGGCGTAAAGCCTGATAAAGCACCAAGATGCCATCATTGAGGTCAATATGGGACCATTGCAATCAACTCATAGAAATTTATGAAACCAAATGAAAAATAGAACCAGTCAGCTTCACATATCACAATCACAAATTACAAGAGAATGATGTGGCTAGAAAGCCTTCTTTAGAACACTACACGAACTTTTAATAAATTTATGAAAACCAAATGAAAAATAGAACCAGTCAGCTTCACATATCACAATCACAAATTACAAGAGAATGATGTGGCTAGAAAGCCTTCTTTAGAACACTACATGAACTTTTAATAAAAGGAGACAAAAGTCCACCACACTGAAATGTTACAGCCTGTTTTACCAGGATGATCTAAGTTTACAACCATGTACTTTTGTGTACACAAAACAAAACCAGCAAGTCTGATAACTGCTTGTTCAGAAAACTGAAGAAAAAACCCAGTAACATATAAGACAAAGACAATTGCATTTGTTTGCAGCTTTATGTTTAGTCAGTTGGTTCTAAACTGAGGTATCTCTAATAGAAATCCATGTGATTTTTAACTCCTCAGGGGAACAAAGTAGAGGTAGCCGGGGGTGGCTGCTGCATTGGAGGACTTGGCACATATGGGAAACCAAAATATTCAGCGATGTCGATTGTGATAACATTCACTTCCCAGCTCATATCCTGGTATCCATTTTTAGGTTGAGTTGGCTTGTGAAATCAAGTGTAAGTTAAATCTACCTTGATGAGGATTCATATTTTTTTATATCATCAATATGATATCAAGCCAAGCAAAAATAGAACCAGCTTCACATGATCGTATCAAGAAATGACAGGTGACTGTTGTAGCTAGAAAGCCTTCATCAGCACAGTACATAGACAAAGTTATAGTTATGAACAAAAATTTGCTTAGCGCAGCAAAGCCTGGCATATGATATCACGTCTAGTTTTAAAATGTAAGTGAAGGCAGTCACTGCTGTCTTCTGCTGGATTGAAAATCAGCTATACACACATGTTATAACGTCATGTGTTGAGAACGATGGAGACAGACATGCTCCGTGCAAAGAGGTCAGCTTTAATATTGCTTCAATACAAATTTGAACCCAAGACCTTCAGGCCAGCAGGCGAGTGTCTAGCTACTTTGCTACCATGACTCCCCATTCTGTACAAAGCAATTCACAATATATGCACACCACTTAAATTTGTGTTTGGTTTTTTAACCCTAACTTCTCCTTACAGTTAATTAACCCATTTGTTCCTAGTAAATACTTTGTTATTTTAAACTGTTAATTCCAGTATTTTTATTACTTAAACCTAAATTATCCCACTTATACCTTAAATTTGCTTTACCCTTACTGTTTTAAGTTTCTTGTTATGCAGAATTAACACAATTTAAATCACCCACTGCCTGTGTTTATTTATTTACTCCATACATCGCTTTGTCCGTGTTGTGGAAAGTGAGGATAAGAATAGGAATAAAGGAGAAAAAATTGCAGATAGGTTAAAAGCTAAACGTCTGAGAAGAAGCATGTTAAATACATTCGATGGCAGCAGTTGTGCTGAAATACTGTACACTAATACTGGAAGATTTAGTAAACTATTAGGGAGTTTAGGTCAGTGGTGCTTAACCTTCATGTTTTGATTACTTATAACCATAAAATTATTTTCTTTGCTACTTCATAACTCCAGTGAATATGTGTTTTCTGATGGTCTTAGGCGACCCCTGTGAAAGAGTCATCATACCATCAAAAGGGTCACGACCCACAGGTTGAGAACTGCTGGTCCAGGTAGTCATGTCTGCCGTTTCCAGGGGCTGTGATTTCCCTGCCTTCCTTTAGTGCAGTATAACACAAGTAATAGATTACACAACCTATTATCTGCCATATTTCGCTGTCATGCTCTAGTAGAATAAAATAAGGAGAAGCAAGTAAACTAATTATTTCAACGAAATACAAAAAATCCACCACTCTTAAATGTTACTACCTGTTTTACCAGGGTAATGACAAGTTCAAACTGTGTCCTTTTGTATACACAAAACTAAGTGAGCAAGACTGATAGCTGTTTCTTTAGCAGACGGTAACAACCAATAATATAAAAGACAAAAACAGTTGAATTTTTTAACCTTTATGTTAGTTGGTTCTAAAGCAGCACTTGACATGTTCTCTTTTTATATCCCCAGCAATACCTGCGGCTTCGCAAGCCACAAGTTCCTGATGTATCACAGGCGGGAATGGCTCAAATGACTCAGGCTAACTGGAAGTTCGTGGAAACACTGTTGAAAGAATGCAAAACTAAGGTAATTCTCAGCTGAAACTCATTCCTGCCTATGTCTTTCTGGTGTCATTGATAGGAGCAATAAATAGTAACACTGACACCATATTTATATATATATATATATATATATATATATATATATATATATATATATATATATATATATATATATATATATATATATATATATATATATATATGATTTTAATTGACTAAGGAGGATAAACCCCCAAAAGACTAAATTTATTTACTTCATGTTGTGACACAGTCCCATAAATGCCAGTATATATCTGTTTATTTGCAGTGACCTGTTCTCGAAAAACTTAGTTAAATTCCGTTGGTTCTGTTTGTGCCTGCGGATTACTTAATTGGCAAGGGTAGGAGATGTGTAACTAAAAATAGCATTGAAAGGTGTTTCTTTATAACCCCACTTTCTTTTGTAAGGCCTGGGTGATGTCAGACTTGTCCATAAGCTTAAATGATAAAAATCAGGGTACGAGTCACCTGATACATTTTTATTTTAGGCTCAGAGGAATGTCTTCCATTTAATGCGTCACACTGTTAGTGTTTATTGATTACTCCTTTATGTATGGGTATATATTCCAACAAATCTATACGAAAGTGTAGATAAACATTTATTTAGTGACCTGTGTGAAATAGTTATTTTTAAGGCTAATCCCCTTGAGACTTCTCTCGGGTTCATGACCTATTTTTTTATGCATTCACAGGGGCAAAAGGTTAATGTGAGACTGGCTACTACAGCCCATAGAAAACTTATGCTGAAAACGCTAACCAATCATGGACTAGGTGCTTAATGTGTATTGCTTGAAGGACTGCTTCCTTACAGCCCATAGAAAACTTATGCTGAAAACGCTAACTAATCATGGACTAGATGCTTAATGTGTATTGCTTGAAGGACTGCTTCCTTACAGTCCAACACGTTCGTTTTATGACTGTCGTTAAGTTTGTGAAGTGTAATTTTCATGGTGCTCCCTAGGGATCATCACTGTAAAGTTTGTGCTTTGTGGGACACTCTTCTGGTGGCTAGCCATTCTGTGAAGAGAGAATGAGTCCTGTGGAGGTAAATCTGGTACAGTGAATTGTATCTTCTTGCCTTCAAAACTTTTAAATGGTAAACATCAATTCTTATCAATTTTGCAGACAAAAAAGATGCTGGTGGAGAAAATGGGCCAGGAGGCAGTGGAGTTGGGTCACAATGATGCCAGCATCACTGGTGTCGAGGAAAACACCCTCATTGCCAGTTTGTGTGATCTCATGGAGAGAATATGGAGCCATGGTCTGCAGTACAAGAAGGTAAATTATCGTCATTGTTTTCTGTCTTACATCTGTCACATCAAGTCCTTTGTAGATTTGTATATGACTGTTTGGATGTTACGCTGAAGGTTTCTGCAGGATGAGATCAACAATATAACTGTGCAACAACCAGTTTAACAAACAAAAATGTTAAAATGCTCTTTAAAAAAAAAATTATGATATTTCGTAAATTATTTATGGTATGTATACTCATACCTGTCGGCTCTGTGGCTAAGTCGATGCGAACGCTTCGCTTCGTAATGCCGGGATGTCAGGTTCGATCCCAGCTGCGGGCAATGCGCCTTGCGTTGGTTTCGACGGTGGTATCAAGAAAGCCGAACGTCCAGAAAGCAATGGCAAACTACTGGATGTAAATTGCCTAGAGAAACCACACAACAGCCAGAGGCTGTTAGGGTTGGTTCTGCAACGTCCTGAAAAGGATACGCAACTAACTTTATTTTATACTCATTTCCAGCATGTCTACAGCTAGTATCAGATCTATTATATAGGAGTAGTGGCCACTGCCAAAACACTTCATGCAATCAAAAACTCTAATGTGTGGGGAAAACAGCTTTGTCAGCCAACAGATTTAATGGAACTTTAGCAAGGAAGGGATGTTGACAACTTCATTATTTTATGGCCTAGAATATGTGAAAGTTTCACACCCCCACGTGTTTTGTTTTGAATTGAAGTATCAATTTTTTCAATTATTTATTTATATAAAATGGTAATGTGCACGTATAAAAAATATTTATGCATACTTAATGATTTATTTGGATCTTACTGCATTTTACATTGCAACAAATATTTACTATAGTTTTCTGTGTATAAGATGATCTATTTTCCCAAATTTTTACTTTTTAGATTGGAGTCATCTTTACACAAGATGTGATTAAAATATTTATTTCCTAATTTTGGACTAAAACAATTTTACTTTATAAATTATACATGGAGTGTCGGTGTCTGTGGCTTAGGCATTGTGAACTTGCTTCATAATGCTGAGGTGCCGGATTCGATCCCAGCTATGGGCGATTTGGCAGTATATCTCCTTGCGTTGGTTTCAACTGTGGTACCGAGAGCTAAACGTTCAGAAGCAATAGCAAACTACTGAACATAAAAATTTGCCAAGAAAAAAACCATAACAGCCAAAACATGCTGGGGTTGGTTCTGCAACGTCCTGTAGAGGATACCAACTTTTTTTTTAATGCATGGGGTGTTCGTCTTATGCACAGATAAATACTTCATGCAGTAAACCATTTATTCAGGTATGATATTACAGCATTTCCCCCCTAAATTAAATATTTACACCTACTTAACCATCTGTTCAGACATATTTAGTTGTATATATTTTACAGGATCTTACAAACCAACCCTAACATTTGTTGACTGTTTTGGGTTTTTACTAGGCAGTTTTATATTCAATGCTTTGCCATTGCCTTCTTAAAGGTTGACACTCAATGCTTTTGTTGAAATCAATTCAAATTAGTCTGCTGCCAAATTATCTGCACCTGATTCGTCATGGTTGATGAGGGTGAAGTATGCGGAAAGCGAGGCAGGGGTTGACCTCTGCGAAGATAGATACAGGACATTAAAGATGCATTGGCATTGAAAGCACTTGAGGCTGGACAGCTGGCTAGGGAAAGGGATACTTTCAGGCTTGCCGTAGAGAAAGTGATGATCTATTAAGGCCTTGCTGATTGATGATGATTCAAACTGGTATTTTGGAGCAATGAACCGTGTTCAGAACCCATTAAGCCACAGCGAATACCCAGAGGAAAGGACAGTATATAAGGAAATACATATTTGTATATACCTAATCATGTATATTGCTATAACAGCAATGTGCACTAAAGTCAGTATGTGCACAGTCAACCAGCATCTCCTTTACAGGGCATTGCAGAAACAGTCTCTGCATTTTTTGGCTTTCACTTGGCAATGTTGCATTCACTACTTTCCGTTGCTTCTGTTGGTCGGCTTTTAATACCATTGAAGAAAAAAATGCAAAGCAGTCTTCTGCCAGATTGCCCACAGCTGCAGTTGAACTGTCTTTATCTCGGAATTGTGAAATTTGTTCACTGCCTAAGCAACAGACAGAGACCTATTCCTATATAGCAGCAGCAAATATCTTGAAAACAGTATTTATACAGAAAACTATTATTCATATGTAGCAGTATATCTATATAAATCTATATATATATTGAAATCAATGTTTATGCAGGGCAAGTCTGCTGTGTGGTCTCACTTGCTGAGTTTTCAAGAAATTGAAGAGGGCAACGACACTAACAAACCAGTGGATCCAAAGATGTTAACACCAGGTTAATTTTGTTCATCACTATCTTGATGTATTGTTGATATTTTCATCTTCTGCTCTTCGCTATGAGTACCTTGAGATCTTGTTGATTTCTTTTGTGCGTAATTTCTTATTGTTTCTTGAAACAGTTGAACGAATATAGATGATGCCAAGTTGTAGAACAGTGAGACCTCTCACTGACAGTTGCTCCTGTATCCAGCTTACAATTTTGAACAGACTTTCAGATGGTTGGACCCTGGGTCTCCTGTATGTGTGTATGTACGTGTGGCTGTTTATAAACATATGTATACGAATATTGATGTATGAGAGGATGTGTGTGCAGTATATTTAAAGGTATGAATGTTTCAAAAACATCTTGAACAACAGGTCTGTATATCTATTTCAATGATTTGTCAGAAGGAGAGGTCTTTTGTATTGAGTAGTGATTGGCACACAACAGAACATTTGATTAAATATGATTGGTTGATATGAGACACAGCCAGTTGAAAGGTTAATTTTGATTGGTTGAGTTCCCCGGTGTGGGTTCCGGGACCCCATTATGGGGAAAACAAGAATTGACTCACTGCCTCCCCAAAAGCATGTCGTAAGAGTCGACTAATTGGGGAGCTTCCTTTGAAGTCGGAGTGCATCTGCCGGAGAGGCAAGGAACCAACAGTCTGTATTCAAGAGAATGAGATCTGTAAAACTAATGCACACGCAACACTCAGGTTCTGGAGCAGGACTGCAGTTCACTAGTGGATGAGCAACCAGAACTTTCCGCCAGAGTGTACAGCTGGTGAACGCGAAGAAGAAGAAGACTGGTTGAGTTAACACTTAACAGATCGTTTGGTTAATTGTGATTGGTTGAGATAGGGCCCTACAGATTATACACCTTTAGCTATTGGTTGAGGCGGTGTACTGCGGATTATATATCTATAATTACTCGTTTATGGGGAAAACCCCATTGAAAGTTTTGATTGGTTGAGACAATATAATGAGGTTATAAGGGATATTCAAGAAATATGTCAAATTGTAATTGTTGTGATTGATTCAATTTCTTTCTCCTCTTTCACCTTTCTCTAGTATTTTATTTCAATGTCAGTTTGTAAAAAAGCAATAGAATTAACTTTAGTGAATTCTTTGCTTCTTTATTAAAATATGAAAAAGGCAAAAGTTTATTCATACTGGCTATTTAATCTGTAGACAGACTAAACGTTTTTGTTTGTTTTTTTAATTGTACTTTTGTGACTTGACTGCCTGTGTTTACTCTAAGACAGGGAGGATCATGAATTGTACTTTATTTTGCCTAAATCTCCTCAGTGAAACTATTTTCTTTTTCGGTGTATCTGATTCTTGGTTTCTGTTATGATTTGTATTCTAATGCGAAAGCAAGCAACTACATTTGACAAGTAAATGTGTTTTATAGTCTGCATTGGTTAAAATCCCATCTATCCATGTGTTCTTATTTGCTAGTTCTTAATGTTTTCTTGTGTTCTTCTTGATGTGCTGTTTTCCAGAATTATATATAACTAGTGCTGTATGCAGGTTTTTTTTTTTTAATTCTAAAAAAAAGTACCGGTACTTATGTTGTCTGAAAACAAATGCTGGTACTCGCCACAAAGTGTTTATTACAGTAGCGCTGAGAAAAAATGGTGCCTGAAAAAGGCACCATTACTGCATTCCATTGCATACAGCCACAACAAATCCCTGGCTATATGAACAAGTTCATATGATTAGGCAGTGAATTTTGTGTTCAGCTAGAAGTTAACTTGAGGAAGATCAATAAATTGCACCAGGTTTTACGTCTTATAGCTTAGTCTCTCTCCACGGAAAGACTAGTCACCTGCGAAAGTTTTGCACAAAGCAGAAACTTCGATGATAATCCTCAGGGAATTTTCGTAGAAAACTTGCACTGAAGAAATATAATCTGTATACTCATCTGCAGTGATCAGCCAAGGGTTTGTATCTCAAAAGGGACTTGTTTGTCAGGGTGAAAGTATATACCCATGTAGGAATGTGGGGAGCTTTTATACTTATGTAGCAGCCATTTGTACAGGTGTAAGAGCTTTTCATATAGGCATTCAACAATATAAACAAGATGTAACAGCTTCTTTTGCAGACGTAGCCCGCTATACAGGGTGCTGTTCTGATTTATATATACATTACCAGTTATTTGAGAGCCGCCGTGGTGTGACAGTTAAACGCTCGCCTGCAGATTCTAATGTTGTGGGTTCAGAACCTTGACCTTGGCTCCCAGTTTCACCAAGTTTTAAAAAGCTATCAGTTAAAGTCCTGGGAAGTAAAGGCAGCATGTGTGATTGTGTCACCACTGAGTGCAGATTGGTCTATAAAAATTAGGTCTAGCCCTATATACCAATATGCTTGAAGGCATGAAAAAGGGTCTTTTAGTGTGTGTGTTTTTTTAAACCTTGCCAGCTATTTAGGATGTAGTAGAGGTGTATACAGACATGGCAACCATTTATACAAATGTGACAGCCATTTATACAGACCTAACATTTATACAACCTTGATAGCTATTTATACAACAATAACAGCCATTTATAGAAACATGACAACTGTTTATACAACTATGACAGCCATTTATACAAACATGACAGCCATCTATACAGTAATAAAAGCCATTAATATAACCATTACAGCTAATTATACAGATGTAACAGACTTTTTTTTTTCAACAAGTTATCCGGTCATTGTGTTTGTGGTCCAGTCTTCCGTGCACAGACTGACCATGGTCATCATTGAAACCTCCACCCATATTTGTTCCCCCATCTGTTTTGAAGGTCTGCCCAAGCGCAATAGCTTGATAGATATCAGGTCTCTGGTGGACACCTCCTTCACAATTCTTGGTCGGTCCATTTCGCTGAGCAGTAAGTAAACTCACACTGACCTGGGTTCGGAGTCATTTTATGCAGCATATCTGACCTCTTGGTGTTGTGGTAGCCACTGTCTAGACTTGTCTAGTGCATGAGTGATGTTTATTGTAAAGTTGTATTACTCCATAAATCTAACATACCCTTGTGCGTGTGCGTTTGTAACTTGCTTGTGTTGTAACTTTTTGTTGTAACTTCAACACTTCCTCCTTTCCACTGCTTTTGATCAGGTTGTTTTAGCATTGATTGCCTTCAGTCTTGGTGCATATACTCACTGTAGTCTGTGTGCTCACTTTGATCTCTTGTTTCACCTGGTTTGCTTAGTCTAGCTGCAACCTTACTGTCGTACAGCTGTTTGTTTTGCGGTGGCATGTTTGTATGAGCTGTGTGTTGTTTGTTTATTTGTCTTGTTAGCTTGCGGTGTAGCTTGTGGTGGTGTGTTGGTATGAACTGTATGTATGTTGATGTGACTGTTTGTTTTTGTTGTATGTTGGCATACAGTGGTCAGTTTTTATATTGAGGTGCAGCAGTTTATGTATGTGAAGTAGTTTGTTTTTTGATTTCAGCGTATTTTGATTTACATTGATTTATTTAAAGAATGATGGGAATAGTTTATGTGCAGTTTTGTATGATGGACTGTTGTTTGTCTTTAAATGCTGTGATTTATTTGTATTTGGATGTGAATGGTTTGTGTATACGTTGATATGCTGTGGTTTATTTATATGTTGATGTGGAAAAGTGTGTGTGTGCATAAGGGAAAGAGAGAGAGAGAGATATGAAATGACTGATTTATTTGAATGTTGATGGAGCTGTTAATTTGTATGTTCTATGACTGATTTATTTGTGTGTCAGTATGACTCATTTTTATTACCTTGACTGATTTATCTGTAATTGATGTGACTGGTTGTTTGTGTGTCAGTATGGTTATTTGTGTTAACTTTGATTTTTTTAAATGTTACTTTGATTTTTTTTATGTTGACAGATTTATTTAAATGTTGATGTGACTGATTTATTTGTGTATTAATGTAATTTTTGTTGTTGTTGATGTGAATGATTTATTCATAGGTTGATGTGATTTATTTGCATGTTTATGAGACTGATTTATTTGTATATTGATGATTTATCTGTGTTTGTGTGACTGATTTATTTCTTAATTTTTTTTATTTATTTATATATGTTTGTGCACACTAGTTTATTTGTGCTGATATGATAACTAGTTTGTGTGTGTTTTTTTTTTATGTTGATGTGCATTGGGGGGAGGAGGGGGGGGGGGGGGGGTGTTCAGTTATGGCTGCTTTATTTCTGTGTTGGTTTGCAGTGGTTACTTGATGTGTGTATGTTATGTCCTATTGGTTTATATGTTAAAGTGCAGGCTCTTAACAAAACATTTATGCTAACACTATAACAGTTTAATATGGCAATCCTGTTTTGGTCTGAGGTATTCATTGATTACTTTTTGATCTAATAGAGCTTGATTTCTATTGAATATTTATCTTCTAACTGCTAGTGTTATCTTAGGTTTAGAAATAATAATAGCAGCATTGTTTTGTAGATGGGTTTAGCTTTATTGTGTGATTGTTTCTGATTGAGCAGTAATGTAGAAACAATTCCATTCTGTAATCTTTTCTTCTCAGCTCTTACTGGCTGTTAACTCCAATGGAAAGTTCTGGTTGTTCATCCATTAGCCATGTTCCAGAACTTAATTTTGTGTGCACATCTATTTGACAGATCTGGCTTATTTGTATGCATACTGGTGGTTCCTTGCCTATCACTTTGAAGGAAAGTCCCCCAATTAGTTGCCTTGTACAACATGCATATTTTCTCTCCCTAGAATAGGAAACCCGTACAGTGACTTTTTGCATAATCAACATTATGTGCCTTGCTGTAGATTCTGGATCAGTTCTGTTGATGATTTTCTTTCATGCCACAGTCTTAGATCACTTAGCATCATTTCTCTATGTCTCCTTATGCCTTTTCTATGGCTAATCTGTCTAATTGTCATAAAGTTACAGATTAAAGTCTTGAGGATTGTTTAATTGCCCCGGGTTTGATCCCATATGACTCGGTCTCTTTCTGCAGAATTGTTAGCTGCCTGCCGAGTGTATCACTGTCATCGATGACAGTCCCTCTGGGT